CCCCCTAAGCCCTAGGGCTACCTCCCCAAAATTTTCAAATGAGACAGGGGGTCGAGTGATAGCTTATTTTAAAGGACTGTTTAATCTGTACATTTTGCCGTTCTATTTTTTGAATTTGACCTCAATGTTACAAAATAACACCCATTTCAATGTTTAAAAATGCAAATTTATTTTTAAACACACCTGCTTTTTTACCTACCTTTTCATTACAGCAACAGGTGTGTTTAGGGATAAATAGGCATTTTTAAACATTGAAATGGGTGTTATTCTGCAACAGTGAGGTCAAATTTAAAAAATAGGACGGCAAAATGTACAGATTAAACAGTCCTGTGAAATGATCTATCACTCGATTCGTTGTCTCATTTGAAAATTTTGAATTGGTAGCCCTAGGGCCCCCCCTTAATACATTTGTTGACGTGTTTCGGCGATTTCCGCAAATATGCTTCTTTACGCAAATAACGTGGGTGGCAAGTTTTGAAATGAAAGCCCTGTATAAAGGATGGTATTATAGTTAGTAGTTTTTAGTTTAGGATTGGCTGTGATACGTTTTAGATAGTGATGTTTGTAAAAGTTGTTTGAGGTAATTAGTGAAGTAATTAGTGTCAGAGTATGTAGTAACGTGAATAAATTGTTATTGTGTTAATTGGACTTTGATTTTGGAATAAACGTACCTAAGGTTTCTGTCACGCATCCCAGAATCGAGACATTGGTGTCAGAAGTGGGATATAATTCGAGGACTGCACAGTAAAATTCGATTGCAAAGAAGTGTGGACACTATTTCGGATACTAAGTGTCACTAAGTAAACACTGGAATAATAAGTCATTGTAAGCAGTGACAATCACAAAAAGAGACTCAACTGATTGTGTACCCCGGAAGTGACTGCAGAGGCGCCGACTACGTGGGTGCTCGGGAGCTCGAGCACCCACGAGCATAGACATAAAAACTGATAATCCTCACTGGTTCCTGGAACCGATTTTATACTTCGGTTTCCTGAAATCTAGTTAACCAAATGTCAAAAGTATTTGCGTTTTCCAAGTACCTAACTGGAATCTGTCAACCGATTCGGTTACTTTAGCTCTGTTCCAACAGAGATGAGAACCTTTCTATAACTGTAATTTTCAGTCGATCAAGCCATTTGTCAATTAGGGCAAACATTCAACTTATTGAAAAATAGGTGGGCAACTGGAATATGTAATGTCATTGGATTTTTTGGATAGTTTTAATGTAGAAAAGTGTCTTGAATGTTGTGGTATTTATGTAGAAAGTTTAAATCTGTATGTTTTAGCAATTTACCGGCCTCCTCAGGGAAGTTTTGACACCTTTTTGGGAAACACTGAAGGAATTTTAAATAAACTGGGTATGAATAAAAGAATCATTTTAGCAGGTGATTTTAATGTCCAGAATGAAGCGGTAGTTCTATGTTATATGCTGAAGAGCTTTGGCTTTGAAAAAACAATAAACGATGCTACAAGATCACTAGCTTGTCTTGACAATATCTTTGTGAACTTCTCAGATAGTTCTGTTCCTGCTTCTGTTGTTGATCTGAGCATTTCTGATCATCTGGGTCAACAGATTGAATTTAATGTGGCCACCTTACCCAGAGCCTTTGAACTGGGAAGAAAGGTATGTAGACCGATGACAATGTCAGGAATGTTTGTGTTCCATGAGTGTATATCTGCAGAGGCATGGGATTTTGTGAGCTCTTGCGAGATGAATGCTGAGGGAAAGTGTACTATGGTTATGAATGTTTTCGAGAGGGCCTACTTGAGGTCATTCCCTGAAAAAACGGACCAGAATAGCAACATCACCTGGTTTAATGATAACCTGAGGACTATGCGTAAGCAGCTTAACTTACTTGGCAGTTTGAGTAGGCAGTGTGATCATCTAGTATTCTCAAAGGAGTTTAAGGAATATAGGACTTTGTAGAGAAATATCATTCGAGAGGCTAAGAAAAATTCAAATGACCATTTTATCAATTCTGTGCTAATCCAACTAGGCGCATGTGGTCTTTAATCAATAAGCATAGTTTATCTTCAAAACATAATGAACAATGTGAAATATCTCCCAATGAATTTAATGCCTACTTTGCCAACATGGCACACCATCTAATAGAGGATATACCAAAGACCCATGTAGCTCCTGTGGTAGCCTTGAGGGGCCTCTCCTTGCCCGAGCAACCATTTTCTTTTCGGGAGGTCACGCTCAATGAAGTAAGAGATATAATTTCCAGCCTCAAAAGTGAAAATACTACTGATGTGTACGGTTTGAGCACCAAACTGCTGAAGTCTGTCATGAATGTAATTGTTATTCCCGAGGTTATTCCTTTAACCAAGCTGATAAACGGTTGCTTTCGTGAGGGTATTTTTCCTAAAGTTCTCAAACATGCATTAATTACACCTATACACAAAAAAGGAAATCAGCATCTACCTGAAAATTACAGTCCCATTTCTATATTGCCTGCATTGTCTAAAGTTTTTGAAAAGTGCATGCGGCTAAACAAATTACAGACTTTTTTGAACATGGTAGGCTCTTCACAGATTGTCAGTTTGGTTTCAGGAAGGACAGAAATACCACTCTGAGCATAGTTGACCTGGTTTCCTATGTATTGCAGTCATTTCAATTTGATGAGATGGAGTATACTGCATCTCTTTTTTGCGACCTTAGTAAGGCCTTCGACTGCGTCTCCCATGACATTCTCCTGCGGAAGCTTCAAGCATACTCTTTTGATCCTAATAGCCTAACTTTATTGAGTTCATACCTGTCTGATAGAACCCAGACAGTGAGGGTTGAAGGAGTGGAATCGGCCAGGAGTGACATAACTGTTGGAGTCCCACAGGGGTCTATTCTGGGTCCCATTCGTTTCCTAATATATATAAACGACTTACCTTTAATGGCTCCAAATGCTAAGTTTACACTCTTTGTCGATGACACAACAATATCCCTCAGGGCATCTACACTTGAGGAAGCCGTCAGGGAGTCTGCAGTGGTGGAGAGAAGGGTCGAGACCTGGTTTGCATCAAATATGCTACTTTTAAATCAGAATAAGATGAAGAGATTGGTGTTTTCCCTGAGGGACATAGGTGATGCCAATATCGTTCAGCGGGTAAGGCTCCTGTGCGTCCAGCTTGATCCTGGTCTGGTTTGGGATGTCCAAATTGATAATGTAACAGCTGGGTTAGCAAAATATTTATATATGCTTCGCAGCGTCTTGAATTCTGTATCCCTGGATACTCTAAGAACAGCTTTCTTTAGCCTGTTTCATTCCACAATGACCTATTCCATTCTTGCGTGGGGGCATGCAGCCCAATCTAAGAGAGTCTATGGTCTTCAAAGAAAGGCTGTTAGAATAATGCAGGGTTTGGGTTACAGGGATGACTGCAGGGTTGCTTTCCATCAGCTTCGTATAATGACATTGCCATCTGTCTATATCTTGGAGTGCTTACTTTATCTCAAGAAAAATGAGTACCAGTATGTAACAAACTGTAGTGTTCATTCATATGATACTCGACATCAAAATGAGCTAGTGTCAGGGTATTGTAGAGTAAAGAGGTGTCAGGACAGCCCTAGGTACCTGGACAGTAAATTTTTCAACAAACTTCCTAATGCATTAAGAAACCTACCACCAAGGCAGTTTAAAACTAGGATTAGGGCATATTCAATTAAGAAAGCATTCTATATTTTTGAGGAATATTTTAATTGTGACATGTATTAATTAATGTTATTTATTTTTACTTTTTTTGACGTGTGTGAACATTCACTTGTATCGCCACCAATAAATAAATAAATAAATAAATAAATAAATAAATAAATAAATTATTGGTTCTGGAACGGTTCTCATGTCTGTTGGGACAGAGTTAATGGTTAATGTTTGGTTATATTTTGACCATAGCCTTATGTAAACGTTTTTGGGCGTGGCATCCGAAAAAGATTTTTCGCCGCCGGCGGCGCCTGCGGCGGTTTGTTCACCCCTGCTCCCAGTTACCGGTGCATGAGCATCAGCACCCACGAGGTTTTCTAAAACCCGGCGCCCCTGAGTGACTGTACACCTGATTTTGACTGTGATAGTGAATCTTTAAGTAAGTTCCAAAAAATTATATTTCGAAACCAAGGGAGATATCGAATTTTTGACTTCACCGACGTGTTTTCTATATCATGCATGGAATCTTATGGGTCAATTCTGTGTACATCTGTAAGCAAATCTATAAATTTTTATAAACCCATAGCTGTCTATAGACAATTTGCAATTTTGTACTTCCTGTAGATTACAGAATATCTTATAAGATCGTAAATACTTCCGATTGGGAGTTTGGCAATCGATGAGTTTTGCAGTATTTACAGGCTTATAGAAATTTATAGATTTGCTTACAGATGTGCACAGAATTGACCCGTTAGATTTTGTGTGAACTACCGTAAGCTTAATGACGTCATCAAGAAGGACAGATTCCCTCTCCCGAGGATAGACGATACATTAACAACTCTATCGGGCTCCAAATGGTTTTCTACCTTGGATCTTAAGAGTGGATACTGGCAAGTGGCGATACACAAAGATGACAAAGAGAAAACAGCCTTTAGTATCGGAAGCGGGTTATATCAGTTTAACGTAATGCCTTTCGGATTGTGTAATGCTCCAGCTACGTTTGAGCGACTGTTGCATCTTGTTTTGCGAGGCCTCACATGGAGAACTTGCTTGGTATATTTAAATGATGTCATGATCATGGGAAATTCGTTCCAAGAATATCTCAATAACCTGAAAGAAGTTTTTGACCGCTACCAGAATGCCAACTTAAAACTCAATCCAAATAAGTGTTTCCTATTTCAAATGAAAGTGGAATTCTTAGGTCACGTGGTATTTGAAGATGGTATACTTACAAGTTATGGAAGGAAAAATAGATTCTGTCAGGGATTGGCCAAAACCACGCGACAAACATGTACTAAGGAGTTTTCTAGGATTATGTTCTTATTATTGAAGATTTATGGAAGGATTCGCCAATGTAGCTGCTCCGCTTCATCGATTAACGGAAAAAAAATCAACATTCAATTGGACCCAGGAATGCGATTCCGCATTTATGTACAAGCTCAGTGTCGTCCTATCCCGATCAGAAGGGCATGTTGATTTTGGACATTGATGCAAGCAACAGTATTGTTTCACAAATTCAAAATTTACAAGAGCATGTCATAGAGTACTAAAGCAGAACCTTATCAATGCCAGAACGAAATTATTGTGTCACCAGAAGAGAGTTGCTTGTCCTAGTAAAACCAGTCGATCAGTTGCATATACCAATACTGTTTGCTGAAAAAAGATACCTACCTAGCTGAAAAAATATGACAAATATGCATTTCTAGATTGTTTTTCTATTTATATTTTCTACATATTTTCTAATTCAATACTCAATTATATTATTGTACTGTTTAGTAAAAAGGCAGACTAAGCTAAAAAGGCTCATTATCTTCCTAGGGACTAAAGTATATAATTTGCTTCCGCCGTTTAACAAACTACCCAAATTAATTTGGGCCTTCCTATTTCTAAGCCTTGGCAAATTGAGGTTCTTATTATCAATTTTGCAAACACTTTTAGAATCCTTAGCAAACAATATCCAATGCTGAATTTTCAAATAAGTAAAATTTCTTATGTCAAATTGATCCCTTTTCCTTTTCGACCCTCTAGCAAAATCCGTTCAAAGCAACAAAAGAAAATTCGTCACGATTATTAAATTTCACATATAATTCGCTTTTGTATGTGATACAAAGGAGTTGGGAAAATCGTCTGGAAAATGGGCGACTTCTCAAACAATGTAACCCGATAGGGGATGGAAAATTATTTTCGGCCGTAATTTGATATCGATATCTATAAAATTACCTTATTATTAGAGAAACCAATTTTTGGATATTTGATATGAAAAAGGTATTTTCATGGCTTGTTATAAAGGGTGCATTAATTGATAGAATGGATATAAATAACCCTTTTAGACTAGAGACATTTTCTTTTAGTGCTTTTTGTGTCTAATGCGCCATGTCTTTGAAAATAAGGTTTAGCTACAAGGAACTTATATTTTTCAGATTTCTTTCTTATGCATTATTATTGATTTTTGTCATTGAAGCCAGTGAAGCAAAATCCTTCAGGGAACCAGCCAAATATTGTGGTTCTAAACTTACCAAACAGTTGCACGATTTTTGTGAAACATTCTATGGTCCATCAGCAGATCGTAAGTTACCAGCTTCGACAATTTTTTCTTCAAAACATTATTTTTTTTTTCAGATGGCACAAATTATGCAATAACTGATGAATGTTGTAAAGAGCCTTGCAGTTTATTGTATATTGTATTATCGTATTGCAAAAAACCTAAACAGTGAGTGAATATTGAAAACTATTTGAAAACATTTCAATTTTTTTTTGTAGCAAAGCTTTGGCGAATGTTTTTGGAAAATCGGAACTGAAACTTTATAGGAATTTGAAGCAAAATATAACCGGCACTGTGTTGGATGAAATTAAAATAAATGGCAGTGCTTTGGTACCACCAAAAAAAGTTCGGAAGAAGAAACACGTTAGAAGAAATAAAAGGACATGTGCTTGTGAGAAAAATAGAATTATGGTAGGTACTTTCAAATACCTTAAATGTTTAAACATAAATGTTATATTTTAAGGAGGAAAAGAAAGTGAAAATGCTTTTATCCAGAAAAGTACCCAAACACAATATTGGTATTGCAGATTATTACGAAAGTGAACCATTACTTATTGCAAATTCAATTTGAGCAAATGTTATCGCACTTTTATTAGCTAAATATTTTGACACTGGTGTAGTTTTTTTACTTTTGTATGTTTTATTAATAAAAAATCACTTATATAATCGCTAAGTACAAATTTGGTCTTATACTGAAAATTTTTTGAATGCCTCTGGATTAGTGTAAAATACTTAATCAAAATCTTGCTTATTACTCAAAATACAAGATACATAATAGCAAAGCATATGTGTGACGGAACTAGCTATTGCCCCTTTTTGGTCTTTAGTCAAACCGCACCAGGGATGCCAAAAGCTTTTACTTTGACTGACTGTAAATATTGGATCATTTAAGCCTTGTATTGAGTTAGGGGTGCCTTGATTCTCATTTATACAAATAAAACGCTGAAATAGAATAATTATCAATTTAATTAATAAATTAAAGTAATTCAGTATAGATCGATCAAATCCTATCTAAAAATTCCTAATTGGACGTCCAGTCGAACTACAAATTTTATACTTATCTAAAGTAAGTATCTTGATTTATAAACAGTAGGGAAATCCGATAATGATAATAATATCATGTATGATTGAATGTTAAATGAACGAAAACACAAATTAACTAATTAAATGCGCGAGAGCACAGCATAAATAATTCGTCAACTTTAATCAGTTCACTGTAATCACAAAATGTTTATTGATCTTTGAAAGTTCCTTTATCTATTGAGAGTTAACAATTTGAGCACTTTTCTGCGAAAGTCTGTAAACAATATGTGCAAAAAAAGTCTTTATATATGCTCAGTTTCTTTATACAAATGTACAAATGTTAATTTCACGAGTGTGAAACCAAATTTTTGTATTAAACGTTAGAAGACACTTCAAATTATAGTGCATTTCAAGCGAATCACTAATCTGTATTTATTGTTCGACTGTTAGAAAAATTGTAACGGTCTTACGTAAATCCACAAGGCGATTATTTATCTATTCATCACTATTCACACTGGCAGCCAGGAAATTTTCCGCCGAGATGAAAACACAACGATATGCACATGCAGGCGCGTTGGAGCCCGGCGAGAGTGAGAGAGAGAGAGAGCCAAAAACAGGTACTTACGAGAGAATTTTGCTCGACCGAGGTGACTTGCAATAATTAGGGGTTAATTACATGAATTGTAATCAATTATATAGACCATGTCAAGCCTTGAGACACAGAGAGTAGTATTTTACTATAAATCGCGAGTACTAACAGGGGTTTTGGGGGTTTGTTCTGGGGAGCATCAGAGGGCGCGAGGGCGCGAACTCGTCGCTTATTCTTCTAATAGTACTGAAGAATGTGCGTCGACTAGCTCTGCCAGGAGCAGTTCGCAAAAACTAGGAAACAATGTGGCGGCTGACCAATCACAGCGGCGAGAAAGGTCCACTTTCTTATAAGGCAATGAAGAAACCTGCAATTTTAATGGTTCAAAGGGTTGTTGTTGCCGGATTTACAGGATAAATAGTCCAGCAATAGCATCTATTTTTAGAATATTATTTTTTATGGTAAATAATAGAGAAGAAAATTGTTGTGGGTTATTTCCGCAACAATATGCAACTTTAATTAGGTTACGATTGTTCTCAAGGGCTAATTTTACAAAATCCTGTTTTGTATATAAAGCAGCGAGAATATTCATTTTTCGATGTAATCAATTTTTTATAATGTACGATTTAATTTCATGAATATTTAGTGAAACCATATGCTCTAAAAGCATTCGTTATATTAAATATTTGAAATGTTGTTTGTTTCTAGAAATATAGGTCAAACCAGTAATCACCTAAATAAAATGTTTTCCTGCTCTAATGATATTTTTTCCAGTATTGGTAAAAAATAAATATAATTGTATCGTTAGGATACAACAATAGTAAATGTTCCATACGACATATCATTATGAAAATGATTGATTTAGTGATTATCCGTTAAATGTAGGTATTGTTGAAGGAACTTATTTATATATTTTGTTATTTTCCTACAAAACTTATCTTCTTTTAAGACAAAATTGTTAAATAAGCTGCAAAAAATTGCCATTTACATGGGTCACACTTTGTTCTAGAAATGTCCAGTCAAAAATAAACTAACAAGTTGAAAGCTTTATTCGCTTATAGTAAAACGAGTAGGCCTTTCATCAATTAAGAGATTTTAATTGGAACATCAACTGAGTGACATAATTATTCATAAGGCTATGAAATTAATTGAAAGCTGCCTGAATAAGAATATTATTTTAGTTGTTGTTGATCTAAAAAGCAACATCAACTTTAGAAGACAGCAAGGAAAGTACAAAATACATTAATATGGATTTTTTTTTTACACGTTGGGAAACTAAATACATAAAATGTATCAAGAACACACAAAATATTTCATTAAATACGACGCAGTATTTTCCATGGAAAGAATCCTAAATATACCGACATTTGATTTTCAATCCCCAACCTGCTTATTGAGTTTCCCCTTTGTAAAAGGGAAAAATCCGAATTCCCAGTGATGGTTTTCCGCAGAACTCCGTCTTAGTTAAGGATAACATTTTCCGGATTCTAAATTTGTGGAGGTATTTCTTAATTAAATAGAAAATTTGTTTTTGCATGATTGATTTTATAAAAGCTTCTCTTGTAATAATTTTATCCTCGATGACATTGACGAAATTTAATTCTATAAGGCAAATATACAGGGTGTCCAAGATAAGGATGGCTATCATGGGGATCTCGTAAACGGTAGCAGATACGGCAATGGGTAAAAATAAAATATTTTTTTTTAAATACTGACCCTTATTTTCTGTTTCAGATTTTATAACCTTCTGATGTCTCAAAACCAATGACGTATTGCACTTATCCGAAAAATGTATACTATTTGCACTTTCCATAAGAACTTTATGTGTTAGAGAGAGACAGAGAAGAGAATTTTGGTAGGAAAATATTACCAAAAAGTAAAAAATATATTTTTTCGAATAAATGCGATACGTCATAGGTTTTGGGAAATCAGAAGCTCTTGAAATATGAAATAAAAATAAAATTTATTTCAGCTACAATATAGAACATGATCACTTAACTTTTCATCTGGAAAACACAGAAACAATTTCACCTGGCAAAGTTGAAGAGCATTCAGCTGTTCTATTAAAGCCCCATTAGGCTGAATTCACTTGAAACCACGTTGCGCAGCTGACACCCAACAGCAAATCATAATTCAACCATTTCTCGCCGGTATTCGGTAGTGCCCCACTGCTACACTTACCTTTAATAGTATAATCGTGCAACAAATGGGATCCTAACCTATTATGGTGGACGGCTTCCCCAGGGGACACCAATTACCAAAAAGAAATAATCAAACCGTGATTTGTTGCCCTGGATATCAGTGAAACGCAACTTCAATTGTTAAGAGGGAGATATTGAAAATATCTACAGCCAAATACTCAAAGTCTATTACCAAACATGCTCAACTAGAAGTAGTACCTTACCAAAATTCTGATTTGAAGAGCAGTTAGGATCAAAGCTTAGGTAATTTTAATTTTTTTAATACCTTGTTCCTCCACAATACTCTACTGCCGAATGACGAATATAGAAATAGATAAGAAAAGAAAGGTACAATAGCTTGTTTACATTACCCTGGTCCCTTTTTTTCTTACTTCAGTGATGATTTATCAATTAGGTATAATAATTTTGAGATAAACAAATCCTTCCATCTTTACTCGTTGAAATGCACAAAACACCAATTTCAGATTGTTTCGAAAATGTGATGAAAAACCTTTTGAGAATGATCATTATTCGAGTGGCAAAAATTGCCAAAATTACTTAGTGCAAAACAATTACCTATATTTTTTTATGTAGGTACCCACTGTATACTTATTATGCATCAGATAATATGTACTGGTATTATTATGTAGATATTTAAATTTTCAATCGATCCACACTGACCAAATATACCTCCAATTCAACGACGCCAAATGGACGTTTCATAGACGTCTTAATATAGGGTATTTTTTCTGAATGGGTCATATTAGGTTTTACATGGTAACTTTTGAACCTGTTGGTTCATGTCATGGTCAAATGAACGTCCACTACGTGACGTCCCAAACAAGTTATATTTTGCAACCTCTTTCCGACGTCAAATTTTGGTTCATCGATGTAAATCTATTTAAAATCGACGTCATAATGACTAACCTTTGCTGTTTGGAATGTTTGTTGGAATAGGAAAAAAGACCTGCTGAAAAACATCCTCCAGCATTTTGAATGTTTGAATGGATTTGGATCAGACGACATTTTTGCAGATCTGTTTTTGTATTAAAATTGTATTCGCTAACATCCAATGTTCTCTATTTCAGGCCTGGTTTATTCATCTTGAGATAAACTTGCTGGTAACTATCTGCAAGATAAATTTACAGATCTATAATCCTGTTGGTCATTGGATAATTGGGTCAACCAATGGGATTACATATCGCGTTTTTATCCATCAGATTGCATTACCTGACAATTTATTAGAGAGTGAATAAACTGGCTCTTATATATATTAAGAGGCTCTTGAAGAGCCGGGAATAGACAAAAATTTGAGAATTGAAAGGCAGACATTCAGGGAGAATGGAGTAGATAAGTAGACTTAAGTACCTATATGTTGTTTCTATTCCAGACTCTTGAATTTTCTTTATGTAGAGATATTTAGAAATAAACAATCCAAGAGCCGGCAATAGATAAAAATTTAGACAGAAAACTTTAAGATTTGAAAAGCAAATATAGAGAAAATCGAGTAGATAAGTAGACTTAAGTATGCTGCTCCTATTCCAGGCTCTTGGAGTTTCTGTATATAGAGATATTAGTAGAGTGTTCTCACAGCTATCAGACCACATACCCACCTCTACCACGTAAAACCCGCCTCCAGCACAGCCATCATACCACTACCATAAACAATGCGGTGTCATCAGATCAACTAAATTAGTCGAGCATATCAGACATAATAAACCTATAAATATATTCAAACAAAAAAAACCCTACCATCGACGATTCTTGAGATGAGGACTTTGTGGTAGATAGCAATAACCCAGAAGCAGATGTTGTATCCAACCCATAATCCGTTGTCCCCCGCCAAAAATGAGCAGATGAGCAAAAAAAATTTAGACA